GCGCTATATACACGTATTACCTAACCCTACCAATCTACTCTTCTCCTCACCCCCGCCCCTCTCTGCAGCCACAGCGGCTCTGCACAAAGAGGGAAGTATATTTTCTTTTCAAAATAAAACGAAAAATGACCGTTTTTAAATATATATATATATTATATACCTGCATACATTTTTTACGCACCTACATATTTTTTCATTGTGTGCGCGTGGAAAAAAAAGAAACGTTTAGCGCTWTAGTATTTTCCTGCTCTGCAAACTTTTCCGCCTGCGCGCCAGATATATATTATATATATTTATATACTGCACTTGAAACAATGTGCTGGCGTATCTTTTGTCAACGTCGTCTCCGTCGCAGTTTTTCCATTAATTTCGTGCGCGACTTATTATCACGTGGAATTTAACGTATGTGTGTGTGTGTGCGTGTGTAAGTGTACGCGTGCACAATCCAACCTATGCATTACAATAACGAATCGTAAATTTATTTTTCCACCATTTCCTTGTTTGCAGATTCGTTCCAAGTGCTGATCCAGTATCCCGACGTGGTCACCGCACAATCCGCTAAATTGGTAAGTGTTCGACAGTAGTCGATTTTAATCGTACCATAATACACTAGTGTAAAATATATTCTAATAATTATATGATAAACTGGTGTTGCGTACTATTTGAATATGAATTTTATAATGTTGAAAAAATAAATAAACGTTCAATATTAAAATGAACGTACGCCGGTACTTTTTTTTTTTTAACCATGTCTGACACAGTCATTGGACGGACAAAATCTGTTCCATACAGGCCATTTGTTTGATCTGTCGCATTTGAACAACGTAAGTTCAGGACCACACGTGTACTTTTACAACCAACACGTGCGCGTGTATGTGTGTCTGTGTGTTTTTACATTATATGCCTAACTACTATTATAATACATTATAATATACACTCCTCCGTACTATACAATATTATACTCCCACACCACACTTTCAACGTTTCCGGGCGTGGCAATATTTAATGTAATTACTAATTATATAATATGTATATAGGTATCTACTGTTATATAACTATTATATACTTATACATATATACTCTTCATCCTCGACTACCTCATCTACTTCTCCGCACCGAGTCACTTTTTATAAAATCCGTATTTTTATTTAGATCTCTGCTAATGCTCGTCACCCATATTATATAATATATATTAACGCGCATCTCCAGCACCGGCAATCGTTGATTAAACGCATTGTTTCCGTTTATTTTATACTTTTTTTTTGCGTATTTTCTTTCTCTCGTTCTTTTTTCACACCCCGTGAATAATTAAATTCGTTTAAAAAGCGTCTGATTTATTTGCTAGTCTTCGTCGTCTTCCTAATAGGGGGCGAGTTACGTGCTGTCCGAGTCGCCGCCGCGTAATTGGATAATTCGTTTTCTCGCYTTAATTGTTTTRCCATCGACTGTTACGCGCCAGTCGTAATTAGCTAAGATTTATTTACGCTTATTGTAGAGAAATTCCTCGCCGTARTCTATAGATCGTCCACTTTATAACGATATCTATGTTTTAATATATTGACCGTGATCGTGAAAAATATACTGTCCAATCAAAATCCATTTTAGATCGTCTAAGATGCTATATGTAATATTAAAATAAAATTATATTTAAACTTACAACTGCTCTGTCCACCATTCCTCATTTGAAAACCATCCCCTTCAKAGACCTAAATCTCCGTAGATAGTGGTAGTGCCCACGTTAATTAGCACTGGTTTGTATAATATATGGTTTAAACGCGGAGTGTATCTATATTTTCTATTTATTTTTTTATATCATACTTCCTATTTCAATTCTCATTTATAAGAAAATTATGTGAAGTTATAGTTATATATAATAGAACCATATTATATACATCTGTGTACTTKTTAGTAGGCACTGAGTGTCTCGCCGTGTTCGTCACCTTCGAAATTAATTTTCTCTTATTATTACTACGTATAACATTTTTAATRCAAAGTTGTTTTAATTCGTATTTTTAAATAATTTTTCATCTACTTAAACTCGACATGAAAAAATGTCAACCTAATACTTTTCATAAAGCCATGCAATTCACGTGAAACGTCTTAAACGTCGAATTGTTAATTTTTTATGTTAATATATTATAGGTTTTATTAGCTCGGTGAGGCACGGTGTATAAATTTCATTTATGACATTTCATCATGTAGGTACTTGTGTCGTATGCTATCTACCAAATTACGGGAAATCTATTAGCCTTGCTACAACGTTTCTTACCAGAACCGTGGTTTAGTATATGGTATACTTCTCAATATATAGATACATTCTTATGTATAGTTCAATAAAGGAGATGCCGAAAAATAACTATCGATATACAATAGTTTTAATGTACCTAATAGACGTCATGCTGTGGAGTGTGTATATGTTTAGAATCGTTTCTAAATCTGTTAGATCGCATATGACACAACAATATACATTGCTAATATAAACTTAAAGTTCTTATAGGTACAATGAATTACCTATAATATACTATCAATTCGTCGTTACTGATTAAACATTGTTTTTTTTTCGGGTTTTCCGAAATCGCTATTTGCACATTGCAGTCTCTGGATGGCCAAAACATTTACACATCGTGCTGCAAACTGCGCATCGAGTACTCAAAATTGTCCAGCTTGAACGTGAAATACAACAACGACAAGTCRCGGGACTACACCAACCCGACGCTGCCCAACGGCGACAACACGGTAATGGAAACGCTGGCGGCGCTCGGTGTGGACTCTGTGGCTGGAAATCAGCTGCTGCCCCACCAGCTCAGTCTACTGCTGTCCGGCGTGCCAAGTGCCGCTGCTGGACTTCCACAGGCCCGCCGGCAGTTGACCACCGGTGCCGACCATAGCCGACTCGCAGGTTCGTTTATTGTCTATATACCCTCCATAAAATATCCATAGTATAATGCTATTCRATGTACCTATACTACCCCTCCGCGATGTTACATTATGAGATTTTTCAACCGCACTCCTCCACCATTTTTCGTGCTCGAATCGAGCGTTTAAGCTATTTGAATATTTCGATTTTTTTTTTTTTTTATCAATTTTTGCACCGCATCTGTTGATTTTTACGATTGGTCATCGTTTTCATATTGTTATTAAAAATTATTAATCCAGCAGTAGATCTCTCCGATAGACGATTTTCAAACTTCAGAATTTGTATGGCGTTTGAGCATGTGTATATTTTGTATATTATTATAATAACATAATTTTAGAAAGACGTTGCGCCTCGTATCATTTCATCTATGCTTTGGAAATAATTTTAATTTCGAGCATAAAGATGGACATTTTCTGTACTATTTCGCCTTGGATATCAAATCGAATAAATTACATTTTACCTAAGCTCCGCTAACCCAAAAAATGTAGGTTTGTAAGCCGTATTACTTATTCGTTTGAGAGCGCAATGAATGTTTGATGGCCATACACATTTACGAGTATACCTATACATGAAACGTCTTCTGTCTCTCCCCATTCGATTCGAGCTTACGAGAATTCTGAAAACATTTACGAAATTATCAATAGAATTTTATGACGTGCGTCATATTATGTATTTTATATATAATAATACTGGTCATATATTATATATGTTTATATATAATGAATACATGTATATATTGGATTTGATATATTATATAGACATGTCGATATCGACCACGATTACTATGTATATTTTATTCGACGCTCATAATAATGTTTGTTTTAACTGTCTTAAGTGATTAAAACTAAATCGTTTTTATTTATATTTTATGTTTTATTTTTCGGTGGATTTTTCCACTCAGGTACTCGACATTTCATCCACTCCGACGCGAAGGATTTACGTCACTGCATTAATATAGGTACACATATACTTACCTGATATCTCTACTTAAATACTATTGCCATACGTGCACATAAATACCGCTTGCGTACGATCATGGACGTGATTCAAGTACAAGAATTCGTGATCTAGGGGTTGTTGTGGCTGAACCACTCACCACAGTTCACGTGAAGGTGTAAAACATTTCATAACATTATTTTCATTATCAATATCAAACTAGCCTTTTTTTTACCACTTCCTCCCTGCTAGAATTCCAGAGTACGCCAATGTAATGTATTATATAGTCGATCACAAACAAATCGATATTGATACAGTCAAAAACTCGAAACGTTATAAATAATTTATAAATTTTTATATTTAATATGTATATATTGTATATATATATTTTACACATCGCGATAAATTTATTTGTATGCTTGTACCTCGCCCGCGTAATTAATAACGTAAACGCCGCGCGCGCTCGCCTATACGTATATGTTTTATATAGGGGTGGGGGAAGGGGGTTACATATTATACACACGAATTCGGACTGGCGAGAATAACTAGAATTTTTCCGGTATTATTGTTTGGACGGAATTTATGGGTATCTATATGCGGTCTGGAATTCGCCGCAAGATATTATTTACCCCCCGACAAAACATTTCCCGATATAGGTATACGTTCCCACAAATTCGTTTTTGATGTACCCGCGACTATGGTTCGTATCTAGTAATAAGGTCTCCTGACTCTGTATATATACAGTAATGGGYGCAGACTGCAAGAATGTCTGTACCGGACGACGAAAAAGAAAATGTTTAAATATATATATTGAAAAAAAAACCTTCCCGTGTAAAGAAACAAACTGGTAAAAAAACAACAATTGAACGTCGTGTACGTACCTATGTCGCATACTAGACTGGAACCTCCTATAAATATATCGGTACATATATCTCATATATTATATACGTGTACAGTCTGTCAGTCTTTAACACAATCCATGTCATTGTCACTCGTCATCGTACAATATTATTCGTATGTATTTTTCTCTGTACGCGATGACGAGATATGATTATAATTATGTACCCATAAATTTCATAATATAAAGTAGGGTCCCCAATACACCGGACATTCTTGTCGCATTTTCCGTATAATTAATAAGATATAGGTAACAAAATATTAGGAACAAGTTACTAATAAGTTTAATATTATATTCAAAACTACCTGACACGGTTTATAAAGTGGAAACTCGGCTTAAGAGTCAGTGAAAACATAATATGATGGACTGGTAGCGAATGGTCCATATTATAATKAATGTTATTATATCTTAATATATTATATATAGAATTGTGTGTCCTGTTCAAAAGAGGAAACTTTGTAATAAACTGTAAGCGATAATAAACCAGTGATGGTATTAATTTTGTGTCACGAAGCAATAATAAATCGAAATACATTTTTTAGAGGGAACTTTTTTGAAAACTAAAATACTCGTTAAAACTTGCATTACTATTAGTAAGTTAGTGTTAACACAATGCTACCTACTTAGTKAAAACTTTATTTTTATCAATTCCTATTGTTTATTATTAGGTTCTTAAACATTAATATTAATTTTTCGTCAAATGTATTATACTTATATACAAACAATTTATAACTACAAAAATTATTAACTG